AGTTCTAAGAATTTTTTTGAAGGCATAAACCTTTTGATATCGCTTAAAAATTTATAAAAAGCCAATAAATAAAGACAATAAATTTGTAAAAAGACATTAATTTAAGAATTTACTATGCTTTCATGGTTCAACATCGTGATTCGCCGGTTTATATCAAGTGACCCCAAGCGATCTCATCTCACGTAAACTACTCTACAAAAATCTAATGCTCTCAGTAATTATCTACATTAATTTCACGTTAAATCTTAATTTGGAACACAAGTTTAAATGCAAGAAATATTTCAATTCGTACGAATAGCTTACTCAGAAATTATGTAAAACCGGAGTGCTTTACTTCGCTAATGCATTCTCGTTAGAATTGATGAATTTAACCCTTGACTTTACCTTTTCTATATTTTCGGCTTCGGGTTAAGCGCTGTGATTGCATCCTAATTGACTTAATTACCGAAAATGGCCTGAGACATAAAACTGAACTATCTGATAAAAATTCTATGTAATTATATGCCAGTATTGAAAGAAACAATCAATCTGATAAGAAAAAGTTGCGACTTGTTTTAAAAATGAGGCTTAAAAGGTTACCAGCGAGAATATTCCGTTTGGCATCGGTTGTACCATTATTGGCGATTTTATCGCTTGCGCCGGCAAAACGGAAAAGTACCATCTAATATATCATGTTTAGAAAAATATAATAATAATAGGAATAAGAATAATTACTTTAACCAAACACATATTGAACGTACCCTAATTAATTATTAAACTTGTTTAGTTATTTTGACAGCATTTAATTCTAAATGCTTCCTTGGTGTTACACCGCTCGCGTAAGTCTTCGCCCTTTGAATATCGTGGAAATAAACAGAGAATAAATAAGAACAGAAAAAATCCTTACGACATGATTCCATCTTGATTTTTCCACACTATATTAAGAATAAATCATTCGAAAAGGCGCATGCGCTTTTGTGCTTATGGTCGCGACTAAGGCGGTCGAACTGTACCATTAAGATTGTTTATAAAATTCAATGGGCAAGAGAAGAAGAAAGTTATTCCTTAAAAATGTAATAAATTTGTATTTTCATCAATTGCTTCTCTAAGGGTAAAGAAATCGAATGCAAAACTTAAATATGTTTGTTTACGGGTTTACATAATTATAAATATCAAAGTGAAAAACGAAACAAAATCTGTTCTTTAATCCTTTGAATATTTTCACACATTCGGCCTTCTTTCAAATAATACAATAAGGCTTAATATCGTGGAAATAAACAGAGAATAAATAAGAACAGAAAAAAATCCTTACGACATGATTCCATCTTGATTTTTCCACACTATATTGAGAATAAATCATTCGAAAAGGCGCATGCGCTTTTGTGCTTATGGTCGCGACTAAGGCGGTCGAACTGTACCATTAAGATTGTTTATAAAATTCAATGGGCAAGAGAAGAAGAAAGTTATTCCTTAAAAATGTAATAAATTTGTATTTTCATCAGTTGCTTCTCTAAGGGTAAAGAAATCGAATGCAAAACTTAAATATGTTTGTTTACGGGTTTACATAATTATAAATATCAAAGTGAAAAACGAAACAAAATCTGTTCTTTAACCCTTTGAATATTTTCACACATTCGGCCTTCTTTCAAATAATACAATAAGGCTCTTAGCATATTAAATATGTGCTATTAGTTTGCTGTGATATTAGCATTATTATGTCTATAACAAATTCTTAATAGTCTAACAACATAAAAACAATTCTGAATGTTTTTCAGGCAATATCTCAAAGCAGTTTGCAAATTTCATTACCCTTAACTTACTTATTCATGCCACCATCAGCTGAGTCTTTGTTCAAGAGTACACTTGGACGTCTTCCACTGAATAAAGGAGCAGTCTAGGAGGCTGAAATCCAATTTGCTATTAACGCTGTATGAAGATGCTCCTGACAACCACGTCGATTGCGTCAATAGCGAGGTCTAATATTGAATGGAATAGAATACGTTAGGTCAACAATTGTCCCAAATCCCTCATGTGGTTAGTCAGTGCTTGTTATGACAATAGTCTATCAAGCAATCTGAGCAACAGTTGCAAACTTGTAGGAGAAAACAGTGGATTGCGTAGAAATTACTCAAATGATTTTCATGGGAAACATAATATTAATCTTTCTTTTAGAGTTGATATTAAATATTACTTATATACTTATTTGTGACACAATTTGTTTATTTCATGAAGATTATAGCTATAATAATATTATTTACTCGCACAAAATGATTATGAATTTCATTCACTGCATGAAGTTTAAGAAAGCTTTCGAGCGTGCTGTGTAATAGTTTGGATAATTTAACTACTTTGGCGTAAATTCACATATAATATTATTTGATGTATGGAAATCAAGTTCAGGCTATTCTAGTAGTTAGTACCTGAGTGATTTTATGATTATCATAGTTTACACCGAGTGCCGCTACTAAGTAAAACATATGTGTGAATAAACATAATGTGTTATGAATATTACACTTTTTCTTCACGCGGGTGCAATTAATGAATATCTTTGCATATTACTACATTAATTTATCAGTTAATGTTTTTATGGAATACTGTTCAAGTTAATCCGTTCTTACGTGTACGGTAATACGTAAAACTTAGTCCTAAAACAATGCAGTCTTAAATTCAGTGCTAATTTGTAGAGCCATTAGGTATTTTTGGAAGCAGGCAAGATGAAAAGTTAGCAATCGTCTTCGCAAGCCACGGAACTCTGGATACTGGCCCAGCGTGCAGAACCACTACGCCACGAAGGACGCTGGGAAAGTGGGAGAAACACCTTATATACTCCCCTTTTCAAAGGGCGACTAGGATTTTAGGGGACCTAGTCGCCAAATCCTGGGTGTGGAGAATCATTATCCACAGCCCTTTTAGCTCGGGCGCCACTTGTAGAGTCATTAGGTTAATTGGAAGCAGAAAAGATGAAAAATATGCAAACGCCTTCGCCGGGAATCGAACCACGGACCTCTGGAATACCGGCCCAGCGTGCTACCGTTACACCACGAAGGCGCGCTAGGGAAGTGGGAGAAATACCTTATATACTCCCCTTCTTAAAGGGCGACTAGGGTTTTAGGGGACCTAGTCGCCAAATCCTGGGTGCGGAGAATCATCATCCACAACCTTTTTAGTTCGGGCGCCACTTGTAGAATCATTAGATTAATTGGAAGCAAAAAAGAGGAAAAATATGCAACCACCTTCGCCGGGAATGGAACCACGGACCTCTGGAATACAGGCCCAGCGTGCAGATCCACTACACCACGAAGGACGGTAGGAAAGTGGGAGAAACACCTTATGAATTATAGCCTTAAATACTATTTTGATACAAATAACTTTGAATAAATAATCCGATCTTAATGTAATCAATTATGAATAAAATACGATACAGCTGTGAATACAGTCCTAAGACCATATTGCAATTAAAAACTATTGTAACAGTCAGCGATGTTATTAGTAGTAGCAGTTTATGTAACATGACACTAGATCGTGCCTTCACTCTTTATGTAACATGACACTAGATCGTGCCTTCACTCTTTATGTAACATGACACTAGATCGTGCCTTCACTTTTTTGTTTGTTCATGATTTTGTTGATTAACGCTGGAGTTTTAGTGATAAGTCTACGGCGTATGTAGGTATGGCGCGGTCCATTCTCCTGGCAAGCCCAAGCTCGCCTTATGGCTTTTCTAAGCCAGCCACGAAAGTTTATAAGGTATTTCTCCTGCCTTTTTAGCGTGGTGTAATGGTCAACACACTTGGCGCATATTCGAGAGGTCCAGGTTCGAATCCCGACGGGGGCATTGCAGGTTTTTCATGTCTCCTGCTTCGCAGTAACCAAATGGCTCTACAAGTCTTTTAAATATCCAATATGTATTTTGACGATGTTTCAGATGAAATTCTCTGTTCATTGGATATTGGAAGACCTAATGGTCTGAGTCTCCCAGTGACCCACGTATGCAAATATTAGAAGAAGAAATGTTTCCATTGAAGAAATATGCGGGGAAGGGGCCATAACCTGTTATATACTGAGTAAGAAATGAGTTGGAACTTGCTAATTTCTCTGAAACATTTTGGAAGAAATTGTGTGTTCTCATCCTATGTGGTGTCTGAGTCCCATTTTTGTTACCAGTGCTATTGTCTTCACTTGGTACTTTAGATGAGAGCGCGGCCAAGAGATGGTAGTCATCGCTGTTCCGTATGTAACCATTTTGAAGATGACTTTTCCAATTAGTGTCTTCGGTATACGCGGATATAGGCCCGATTTGAAACCTTGGGGACCTAAATTCCCATATAAGAAAGAAATTAATTAAAACAGTAATCATTAAAAGGAATACATATGGAACTCATATTTGGGCTAATGTTTTCTAAGGAATCTGATTTGTTTTGGTCAGTGATTAGTTACTACTTTTCAAGTGCTTAAAGCATCTAAAACAATATGCTGGCCTTGTTCCAAAGGGCCGCACACTTAGTGCATTCATTAAGAACGACCAGCACCCAATTGCTACCACGAGGGGCGACCGAATTACATTCGTGAGAAAGGGGGAAATCCGTGCTAGTTTTGATGATACAGACCTGAGTGTCTTGCTCTGCTTTTCCCCCACCACTAACCTCTAGCGAAGATTCTCTGCTAGTATTTTACGTCTGCTCATGCCCCGCATACATTATATACTTACAAACGTTCAAGGCCTTCTCCAGGATCCGCCCCTTGGTCCAACATAACGGCAGCTAGCATTGCTGTCTTTTATAGGTGTCAATGCAGTGTTTACAGCAATACTAAAACGGCTTGTTTTGAACATATACTACTGAAATGTTTCATCATATGCTTTTGTTTTTCGGATTTATGTGACTGGAAAAGGGCGTTTATGATAAGTTATAACACTGTTAAATGTTCTTATGTATTTAACTACTGCTTAGCAATTTCAAGTAGTTACGTTTTAGCGCATAATTCTGAAATGCATCTTCTTCAATTGTTTTCCAAAAATTTAGGAGCGAGACAGAAAAATGAATGTCACTATTTTAACCGGAGTGTCTTGGCAGAGAGCCCTTGAGCTTAGTGGATGTCACGTGAGACAGGCAGCCCAAAGCACCCAACCAGATTACGAAGTCTATTATAATGTAAGAGGTAAGTTGAGAGCATTATTGTATTTACTGTGTGCTAATAGGTCCACATCAATGAGAATTATTTTAAATTTCATTTCTAATTAAAGAAGAAATATAGGCTTGTGTTAACTCATAACATTTGAAATATTAAATTATATGTTGAAAGGTGAATTATCTCTTTGCTTTGGAAGAATAATGCCATTACATGAATTCTGTCAGTTGTAGTCTTTAACTAATTTAAGTATTCAAGCACATTTCTGTCATCAAATAAACTGCATATTAAAAAATAAAAAATCTAATGTGTACACCACATGACTTCTTTATACACAATATTAAATTATACACAATTTTTCTTGCATTTCATTTAAACTTATTGGATTGAATTAAATCTACTTCGCCGACAACGCATAAACCACAATAGAATAAATGCATTCTTTAAAATTCACTCTAGTATTTGTTTACCATAGCGACACTCTGGGGCTAGATTCACTTAATAGTATTATATTTCGTTCATATTATAACTCATAATGCACAAAATTTATATCATTTAAAGAACAGAATTATCTAATCGTTGCCACATGTTCTATTGAAATACTATAATAAAGCTAGAACGACGTATAAAAGCAATTAAGCAAACAAAACAAAAAAGAAACAGTTTTTCCCAGACGATTGAGTATTTCTCATTCAATTAATTCAGTTCTCACTTCGCGAGAAGGCAAAAATACATAAAAACTCAAAATATCTATATTAAAAATTACGAAGTAAATCTTAAACACTTATTTCCTCGAAAGAATTCCAGAAAGGATTAAGCATGATTTAATTGGCAATAATAAATGAAGGCGTTATCTTTGTTGTTGCGAAGCTACGTTTCTCTAGATTGGCAACAAATCCACTAGTCTCCTGTTTCAAATGTAAACATCAATGGCCGCTATTAAAAACAGGCTTAGCGGCAATTAAACAACTTTAAAATTGCTGATAATTCTAAAAATATTGCACACAGATTTACTAAAGGCATAAAATCCTTAACCGGAAGATAAAAACAACATAATTCAATAATTTTTAAAGCAAAAAATGTACAATTTACAAACATATAAGAGTAAAGAAACTGAGATCACTGAGCCGGGTGGAGCCAGGTGAGTGGATATATATATAAATATATTTATATACGTTTGGTGCGGCCGATTGCAACCAAAATACGAGGTGCACATCTACATGTTATAGCAGTCCTATATACAAAATTTCAACGTTATGGGGATACTCGTTTTTGAGTTATGCGAGATACGTGGGTACTCGCATAATTTACGTACATACGTTCATACGTACGAACGTAACTTACGTACATACGTTCATACGTACTTACGTTCGTATAGACGCTACGAAAAATTCTCTTCAGAATTCATTTTAAAGCAGTTTTGTAATTTTTTTGGAGGAAAAGAGTCTTTTATTCTGTTCTTACGTATAGATATCACGCAAAAACATCGTTAAATTGCATTCGATAGCGGTCAAAATGGATATTTTCGTTGAAATATGCTGCCTGAAACTTTTCGCGATTACAATACTTCCTTTTTACTTTGTACAAGGAAGTAAAAAAGAAGAAAAAAGACTAGTTATTTTTTAGTTCGACAGGCACAGAAGTCATATATTATAATGATGTACGAAATAGAAATTTCAGGATTAATTTCTTTTCATCTTTTAGTGACCACACCAGCCTAGAATTCAGCATCTGTTTTTATAGTATGGTCATTAATCAGAAATCTCATAAAAATAACTCATAACAGACAGAGATCTCATAGAAGAACTCCTTCTACACGTTTTCTACACATTTACGAGTACATTTATGTTTGTGGTCTGACATTTATGTTTGTGGAATGTTGATCATTCCTTTGGAAGCATACTCAGTGTATCCAGGAAATTCCATACCTTTGCATTATCTCTGAAACATTATGTTTTAAAGCACTCTTTCAGTCAGGTATTTTAGAGAATTTATTACAGATTACCTTACATATGGTCTACCCACTCTAATTATAGCTTTCATTTTTTGTTGGAAATTATACAGAAGGCGGACGATTACCGAATGCCTGCTCTATTCTTACTTTTTATTGGAAGAAGATTATATTCTTATTGGAAAGAAAATTACACCTTTATTCGTAAATACCCTAAATGCTCTGAACGATTCTGTTTGCCTACGACGCAATTCTTTCACTGTTACCAGTACTGATGAGAAACTATAGAGGGGTTGAGAGGAAATTAGATTTGTAGGTTAGCAGTGTAAAACAAAGAAATATTACATCATTCCCAAACTTAAAATCCTTTTTGGTCGAAAATAATTATATTCTTACTGGAAGAAAATTATAATCTTGTTGGAAAGAAAATTACATGCTTATTGGAATTACAGCCTTATTGGGTTAGAAAATTATATCCTTTTCTGAAAAGAATTTTACAATAATATATGCTCGCATCTCGAAACTCTGCGGTCACAATTTGACATTATTTTCAAGTGGTAAATGTAACGAATTTTCATGGGTCCTTCATCCTTTCCATTGCAGTTTCGAATAAAACAAACTATCATTAAATGAAAAAAAAAAAAAAAAAAAAAAAAAAAAAACAGTTAACTGAACTCTTGAATGATATAAGACTCAAAATGAAATTCCAAACAGAAGGTATGGGTAATTTGTGATCGTAATTATCCGAAATAAACAGAATATAGTGAACTGTACAATGCTGCTTTAAAAAATATACTTCCGTTTGTATCTATTTATCTGTGTGAGAAAGGGTAAACTACTTAAGTAACTAACTCACTGACTCAAGTAACTCAAATGAAAAAGTATTACCATTAATTCAAGTAAAAACAAGTAAACACCGTTAACTTACGTAAAAACAAAGTATCGGTATGGATTTGATAATATGTGTCGATCTCGGTCTTAAGCTTATCAACATACCTCCAAATATAGAACAAGAATCAGCAGACGCATGCTTCTCATTAATGTGAGTATCAACATTTATTCAGTTTTGTTAATAAGGTAAAAATTAACCAAACTCTAATAGCCTTGAATTATTAAAAAATACATAAAATTTCTTTCCTCAATTTCTTTACCGATATTAAAATTAAATGAACTTGAATTAATTGTATTTTAAAAATATAAGTATACTGGTAGTAACATAGGTTATGTAACTAAACTATGTAGAGTAGATACATTTAAAAAAATTAAAAATACATCTTTTTTACAACGGAGAGAGAAACAGCGAACCACAGCGAGAGAAACCACGCATCCATCTCCTTCCCGTTCGAATTCCAAACTATTCGCAACTGACCGATACCCATGACAAGCGGAACGAGTCCTCTTCTCCCGGCAGAAGCTAGAAGAGGTAATACCCCTTAAATGGAAGATTTTTAAAGGTACTGAAGTTTAGAGGCAGAGGCCAGAAGAGATAATACCTCCTTAAATGGAAGATTTTTAAAGGTACTGGAAGTTTAAGGACGTATTGGAAGATTTAGCTCTGACTCTTTCTGGGTTTGGCACAAAAAGCTATCAGCAGTGCGAAAATTTATGACCGACCATTAAAATCAAATATTACAAGCATGGTGAAACTAAAGCAGGGAGGTCTTTTCCCTGGGTTTTTTGAGAAAATGGACGATACAGAGTCAAGAGTAGGGTGATAAAATATTCTAATTTATAAAATTGTACCCCACTTGAAAAAGTCTGAGAAACGCTGGCTTAAGGTAATGAAGCAGAATTATTTCATTTCATGCAAACACTTGAAAACAGTGTAGTTGACGAGATTTAGAGAAATTTTAAGGATCCTCCGAATCATTTGGTAATCTCTTATAAAATCCTGATAAAAATTAAGAAAGGTGAACTTGAAGATCTCTTAAAAATGCTGTACTTAGCCTTTCAAGAATGTTTTAATCGGGCCTTTGTGTTAATACGGCATATAATGCCAAGCACCATTTCGTTGTCCGTTGTCCAAGTTCAAGAACGATTCCGTTGTCCAGCATCTGAGACCTGAAGCTGAAAATAATTCTAAAAAATGTTTGAAGGCGTAATAAAATTTGGTGAGAAATACATAAAAACATGCATGTACACTTTGGATAATTAGCGAGATAAATTAATTATACTGTTATTTATTATATATTGTTTATTGTGTATTCCACCTAATTATAATGATTCATAATAGAGGTATATGGACATAATGGAAGAATATTAATAGGGACATAATGATATACACGATGGAGGTATAGGGTCTCTTAATACGCTCAACCGAGTTAACTTAGGTACAAAATTATTTTTGCTCAACCGAGTAAATGCAATCAAGGATTTTTTTTTCTCAGATATGAATACAATTTAATGTATCCACTACAGTTTTGAGTTAAAGAAAGAGGTTGATTTAAAATTAAGAATAAAATAATTGGCGGAACAAAGACCACTCTTTGGACTTTTATTGGCGCATTAAGGGGATAAGTAGGATTTCATTCGCCTTCCTCACTTGAATTAAATATTTTCTCCTTTTCGCTTCTTTCAGTTGTCTATGAAGTGTCTAAAACTGCTGTTATATATTTACTAGAAAGCCCGGAGGTCATACGAAATGACCGCTGTTCTAGATATTATAAATTGTAATTAAAATGATGTGTGCAAAGGTGTCTGCTAATTTAAACTGAATCACCCAGGGCAGGTGGCGAGGACTCCCCTTTACATACTGTCCCACGGGATTCCCCCTTCTACTTGCTTAATTGCTTAGAGCGCAATGAAGGAAACCACTGGCGGTACATTTCTTAAGAGCCCACCGCTAGCTCAATCAGTAAAGGTGATTTAAAAAATGAAATGTTAATTCGCATGTCAAAGATCTCTTTGCACACAACATTTCTTGTGTGGATCTTTCCATCATTTGTAAGCTCGCCTTGCAGAGGACCATCCATTATTTTTAATTTTACGTTCGTTCTTTCACGAACTCTTGAACAGACAACATAAAGTTGACCGTGTCCAAATACAGACTCAGGTAAAAAAATGCCGACACGCTTAAGCGTTTGGCCCTGATTTATGGATAGTCACAGCAAAGGCAAGTTTTACAGGAAATTGTCTACGTCTCAATTGAAACGGCAATCCTGTGCTGTGGCAACTTCACCCCATTGGCTAGTACAGTTACGCAAGCAACTAATAAACTATCGACGACAAACAGACACTTAAGCCGCATATATATATATGGGGTGAAGTAACACTATCTCCTCCGAAACGGTTGGCTCCCGGTCTTAGCGAAGCACACCGTTGGATTCCGCAGGTCCATGGCACCCCATTTTGACCATTCGCGTCTTCTTGGGACTTTAATTAGCCGGGATATTAATTAAAAACTAATTTTTCTCTACGTTTTCCCTACATTTCCCACTTTCTTTCTTGGGTTTTCCCTATTACAGGGATTTGGTTACGTGCAAAATTCTTTTTTCTCGAATATCTACGGAACGGCGCCGAGTTGAAATTCGAGACGCATATCCTCGGATTCCAAAAAATTCTCCGAATCCATCGATACCGTTCTCATCTTTGTACGACTTTAATCGGCCGAGATATTTAATTAAAAACTGCGGAAACTTTAATTTCCGCGCTCATTTTTCTCAGTGGCAACAGTAAACTATCGCACACACTTTAGCCACTTATATATATAAAGATTAGTTATATCTTAGAAACCACATGAAGGCTATCTGCCTATTAGAGATACTTTCATTTTTTAAAGAAAATCAGATCACCCAAGGGAAAACTATGCAGCCCGGTGCTTACATTTGCTGAGAGATGAGCTATAGCCTATTACTTCAGAACAAGCATTTCAAGACCATTCTTCCCCATGCCATAACTCATAAACCTAGCAATAACTTCTACAGGGGGGAAATCGAATCTTCTATTTTTTAAAAATTCCATAATTCACTCTGTCGTTTGATGATGACACACGTTACGATACGAAATGCGGAAAAGGTCGCCGCGACCTTGAAATGCCTATTTTAAGCTAACAGACTATAGCAGGGGTGGCCAACCTGCTGCTCGCGAGCCACATGCGGCTCTTTGAAGGATTATTTGTGGCTCTCGATAAATGTACCCCAGTTCCCTTTTCATTTTTGTGTTATTATATTTAAAAAAATTATTATCGTTCCGTATGTGTTTCAAAATGTCTTTTAAATTACAGACAACAAATATGAAAGACTCAGTGCAACGTTGTAACAAATTACATTTCCGTCCATCGTCTCCTGATTTTTTTCTGAATCCATTTGAAATTAACATAATTCAAGGTGGAGTTTTCCATTTCCAATATAATTATGACCCAAAAAGCATCTGGACAATTAGAATTAATAGAAATGCAAGAAGATCAAGCTCTATAATTAAAATATTAATCGACGCCGATTACTGAATTTTGGAAATTTGTACCAGAATCGAAGTATCCTGAAATAAAAAAAAGGCTGCTTGTCGAATTATTTCAATATTCGGAACAACTTACTTATGTGAATCATTTTATTCCATTTTAAAATTCGTGAAATCCAAATACCGATCAATATTAACTAACCAACATCCCAAAGAATTACTGAGAAGTGCTGTCACCAATTATTCACCATATTTTAAAGAATTATCAAGAGAATTAAAATAAATGTGTTTAATTTTTAATATTTAAATTCAATACACATATTTTGCACTTTTATTTATATGTTTTCAATAAATATAATTTCTGTAAAATTTTTTTAATACCTTTTATGCATACCTTTTAAATAAGTACTTAATTGCGGCTCGCGAAAAATTTCAGATTTTGAAAAATGGCTCGGACTATCAAGGAGCTTGGCTACCGCTGGACTATAGTGTTCTGCGGCTTAGTTATTCTACCATTGATATACAAAACCTCTGTATTTTATGTCAGTATATTTTAACGCTATTTTTATAGTCGTAATTGCAAGCAAATATGTTATTGCACACACTTGAAATAAAAACCTGATGTGTACACCACATAACTTCTTTGTGCGGAATATTAAATTATACGCATTTTTTCTTGCATTTCGTTTAAACTTATTGGATTGAATTAAATCTACTTCGCCGACAGCGCATAAACCACAATAGAATAAATGCACTCTTTAAAATTCACTCTATTTGTTTACCATAGCGACACTCTGGCACTAGGTTCACTTAACAGTATTATAACTCAGAATGCACAAAATTTGTATCATTTAAACAATTATCTAATCGTTGGCACATGTTCTATTCAAATACTATAATAAAGCTAGAACGATGTATAAAAGAAATTAAGCAAACCAAACAAAAAAGAAACAGTTTTTCACAGAAGATTGAGTATTTCTCATTCAATTAATTCAGTTCTCCCTTCGCGACAAGGCAAAAATACATAAAAACTTAAAAGAACTCTATTAAAAATTACTAATTATTAAAATTAAATTATTAAAATTAAGTAAATCTTAAACACATATTTCCTCGAAGAAATTCCAGAAAGGATTAAGCATGATTTAAAATCGCAATAATAAATGAAGGCGTTTATCTTTGTTGTGCAAACCTACGTTTCTCTTCTCTAGATTGGCAACAAATCCACTATTCTGCTAAGTTTTAAATGCAAACAAGCATATAGCTGCCATGGAAAAATAATTAGGCTTAGCTGCATTTAAACAACTTTTAATAATATGTTAATAATTCTACTAATATTGCAGACAGATTTACTAAAGGCATGAAAACCTTAACCGAAAGATAAGAACAACAGAATCCAATCACTTTTAAAGCAAAAAATGCAAAATTTACAAACATGTAAGAATAAAGAAACTGAGATCACTGAGCCGGTAACTAGTGGATATAGTATAAATATATTATATACGTTTGGTGCGGTCGATTGCAACCAAAATACGAGGTGCACATCTACATGTTATAGCAGTCCTATATACAAAATTTTAACGTTCTGAGGGTACTCGTTTTTGAGTTATGCGAGATACGTACGTACGTACGTTCGTATAGACGCCAAGAAAAATTCTCTTCAGAAATCATTTTAAAGCAGTTTTGTAATTTTTTTGAAGGAAAAGAGTCTTTTATTCTGTCCTTGCGTACAGATATCACGCAAAAACATCGTTAAATTGCATTCGAAAGAGGTCAAAATGGATATTTTCGTTGAAATATGCTGCCTGAAACTTTTCTCTATTACAATACTTCCTTTTTACTTCGTATAAGGAAGTAAAAATGCATACATTTAAATTAAAAGCATAAAAAATAGCACATAATGGCATTTTAAATAAACATGTAACAACTGCACAGATTATGGAGAGAGATTTTAAGCATTATGTATTGACAAAATTGTGCACTTCTCCTAACATTTTAGAAACTTTGAGATAACATATATTTATTTTTATGTTTTATAATTTCTTTTAGAACAAGAACTCCTGACTCGGACATTGACGGAACTTACATTAGCACTTAAAGAAATGCGCAACAATATAGAATTACAGGTAAATATAATTTATTATCTCAGACTTGGAATTAATATAATGATAATTTTTTTTAATTCATAGACAGTTAATATTAAATTTACTCTCCTGAAAAACTTGCAATTACATTTTGTTTATTATATCGTTATGTATTAGCTATAGATTATTATATGAACACTTTTCAAGAAATTAGTTCTAAAATGACGTACATTATAATAAGAAGATAATGTAGTAGATTAATTCATATCCTGTTTCGTCAGATAATAATTTTTGGTTTTACTATTTTATTTTGGGTGATAAATTGTATGTTATTTACCTCATATGTTTGCAATCACTATGGTATGGTATGGCATATTAGATTACGGCAAAGCACTCGATTGCTATCTGCATTAAGGGAGGGATGCCTTCGTGGAGGACTTTTTAAGGGAAACTGGCTGGTATACACGTTACAAATGGGAAAAACCACGAAAACACCCATGCAGCCAGCTCGTTCGCGGAATTCGAACCTCGGACCGAACTACCAATGTTCAGCGACGTTACCGCTCGGCCGCTGGTGGGCCCTGCAATCACTATGAGTCTATATCAAATCGAAACACTTGTTCGTCTCAAGACATTTTAAAATGAAATTAAGTTATGTTAGAATCTAAGGTAAAGCTAGAGGAATACTGTGTTATTTAAATAAACCCTATATCAACTCATATTATTTAAGACAATATTCAAGGAGCAATATTCACGGACAGGCCTTTAAATATAATTAAATTCTCTTTCAAGGTTCTTTTTGCGTGAACTAACTAATAGATATAAAATAAATTAATATGTATAATGTGAATTTTAAGTTAAGATTTATAATACTGGAGTCAAAAGTTTTTCTTTACTTAAAATACATGAATAAAATGAAGTGAAGCGTTCGCAGTTTTAATACTAACTACGTATTATTTAGTTTAAAACACAATTTACGTATTCTTCTTGTAATTAATAAACATGGTTAATTATTTCATGTTCAAGAACAGTATCTCTACATATAATAAAAGAAAGAGTTTGTCCGTGTGTCTTTTTTTCGCGCTGCGCGTAAGCTAATAGACCCACTACTACGAAATTTAGTACATAGGTGCATCTAGACAAGAGCCAGTGCACCTCGAAGCGAGTTTTTCGAAATTTGAATTCGAATTTTTTTAATTTTATATTTTGTGACGAAATCGCGTCATTTTGAGACATAATGGGCTATAGAAAAGCGAGATTTTGCTCTACACACACCATTTTCCCATCGTCATGAAACGTAGGCACTTAGCTATTTTGCGAACTTAAAATAAATTTCATGTTTCAATAAATCGATCAAATACGAATTTATTTAACAAAGTGAGCTTAACACCTTTTCTACGGGATTTTTTCTAAAAAAGTTTATTTTAAAAATGTACAGTTTAGTATTCTTTGATTTTGGACACTTTAAATTTCCTCCTTGCGACGCTTTTGCAAAAGAATTTTGGAAAAATGATAATATTTTGTATTAAAAAAAAATTTTTAAATGAAGCTTCCGAGTACACTTCGCACATCTTTAAAAAGGTGATTTTGACAACAATTTTCCTTTCTTATTGTTGTTGATTATTTTGAAATCGCATCATTTTGAATAGTTTCATTCTTTTCGAAATAGGGGTTGGCAACAATTTTTCATCGTATTATGTCACTGTTTTTAAGATTGGCTATTTTATTGTCATTTTTTATATAGATAATGCATTTTTATTGATTTTTTTGATAAAGTTGTTCTGCAGAGTAAAAATTCTGCGCAGAATGTTTTGTTTTTTGATTTTTTCATGTTTTTTTTGCTTATTTCACTACTTGTAAGATACTGAAAAGTCTTGCATGATTTTTTTTCTTCAACGGAAAGTTGGTTAATTTGTTTTATTAGGATAATTAATATTTGTATTAAGGGATATACTTATTTCATTGTATTTTTTCTCTGAAAATATAAGATAAAATCATTAATTATACTTAGAATTCAGAACTTTTTCTTTTGTATTCTTTTATGTTATTTATGCTCATTTCATGTCTTTAAGATATGAAAAGTTTTGAGTGATTTTTTTAGGAAACAGAGTTCTTAACCTCCTTTATACCATTTCAGTTCTTAAGATTTGCAAAGGGAAGTTGGTTAATTATTTATTAGGATAATTAATATTTGTATTAGGGATATTGCTTTTTCATTGTAATTTTGTTTACGTATAACTTTTTTTATGAAGTGTTCTGCAGAGTAAAATTCTACGCAGTTTTTAAGTTTAACGTTTAGTGTTCCCTTCAGCCATTTTTCCCGTACATTTAAAAGCCAGACGAAGGTGGGCAGCGAAGCTGCTAGTACAGTATATAATAATCAGTTTATGGAAATTTGTTGAGTCCCTAAGAATGTGTTATATTTTTGCTATTTTATTACCAAGTAAATATTAAAGAAACAAGTTTCGGTTGCTTTAAAAATATGATATTTTGCTATTCCTATTTCACTATTTAAAGAAAAATTGCGGCATTTTAATGATATAAAGGTAATGTCCAGACAAAACAAGGATGTAAATTTTCCATTTTGTTAAACGGCTAATTTGTTGCAGATTGTAAGAAAATAGAAATGTGAATGTCTGAGTTAATACTTTATCAGGATTTCTGTGTTAATGTTTCATTGCCTTCTGTGTATTTGCCTACAGCCTATATGGCAGATTACAATAACTGATCTCTGTTGCTTTGCTCAAACTCTATATTTCTGGTTTTTTGTCAAAGTTTATTGGTATATGATTTGGGACTCAAAAATTAAAATTTGATGAAGACAGTTACAGCTAGGTTTCCAGAATTTCATATGACGGTTTTCAAAATAGGCTGTAATGTACTTCGAAAAGCGCAGTATTAATATCAAGAGCAGAGCATGTTTTTTTTCTAAATGCATGATGGAAGGAATTTTGAGTAATTTGTTTACTTCACTTAGACTTAATTTTATGTTTAAAGGTAATAAAACTTTGCCCAATGTGTAGGAGTGTTACACGCAAAGTAAAATTTATTTTAATAGCTAATCACTTTTAACAAAAATCTACGGAAAATTTGTTTTATTTGTAGGCAATAAATTAAATTAATTTCTCATGTAAAGTTTCCCAACATTAGTCTTGGGAAGTGCACAGCATAGGTTAAAAGGTTTTGAAAAGAAGTTAAGCTGATCAGTTCACATTCAAAACAGCGAAGGTTTTTGATAATCAACTTTCGCTATTATGAATAGAAATTATAATTTTTTAAAAACGTTCTGAAGCGGTAAAACGTTTATGTAAAACATGAAGTTTTACTGCAAAAACGTAGTGAATCATTTTATGGTCACCACTTTCCTAAAATGAAAATCTCTTACAGAAACCAAGTTTTCTTTGATAAAGATATCACAATTCTACATCCAAGTAACAATCCCCAGAAAAGAACAAAATCATCCAGAGTCAAGGGTAGTTATTTTATGACAGCCTGACTGTATTTTGTTATCGTAGCGTCCTATAAATTGGTTAGAAATTAGAAATTTATCAAGGTCTGAATTACCTAAAAGCAAACGAGGCTGAAGCTTTGGCTAACCTTCAGTGCATGCCCGGAGCGGGTTCCTTTCAGTGGACGCTTCCAAAAAAATTGTATAATATTTAACATGTAAACATATTTTCAATTCTAGATTATAAAATATAAAATCAAAGTTTGGAAACAAAATTTAAATTTCGCCAATTTTAGTTCTTAATGTCTTTTTCAAAAATCACACTGGAGTTTATTCTTCTACTCTAATTGGAAAATGATATCATCTTGATTCGTACATCGAAATTAACTTGCCCAACCAGTCTCTGTTTTGCATGCAACCGCCATATTTGAAATTCTCCATATAGCACAAAATATATTCGGAATATCCTGAAGATGACGCTCGCGATATGAGCGGATATGTCCTCAAGATATTCCAGAATACTCCAACTTTAATTTCCTAAACACAGTCTTCAAAATGCTTAGTGTCACATCCCAGTATATCCTCAGGACATCCTCTCTAGGCCCCATCTACCGAATACGATATATTGTTAGGCTTTAAAGAACTGCTTATAACATCCTCAGGACAACCCGAAATATACCTTTAACCTCCTATACACATTCTCCTGACTTGCATAATGTTTCACACTGTAGTACTTCCTTAGGACATTCTCTCTAGATCCCGCTGATAAAATACGAGGTGCTTTTAGGATTTGAACTCATATTTGCTACCTCCTCAGGAAATCCAGAAATATCCTCTTAATCTCCTCAAAACATCCTTCCGAGTGCTTAATGTCACATTCCAGTGTATCATCAGGCCGTCCTCTTTGGGCCCCATCATCAGAGCACGAGATGTTATCAGGATTTGATATGACGCTGTAGAGTCATTAGGTTAATTGGAAGCAGAAAAGATGAAAAATATGCAACCACCTTCGCCGGGAATTGAACCACGGACCTCTGAAATACCGGCTTAGTGTGCAGAGCCACTACACCACGAAGGCACGCTAGGGAAGTGGAAGAACTACCTTATATACTCCTCTTTTTAAAGGGCGATTAGGGTTTTAGGGGACCTAGTCGCCAAATCCTGGGTGCGGAGAATCATCATCCACAACCCTTTTAGTTCGGGCGCCACTTGTAGAGTCATTAGGCTAATTGGAAGCAGAAAAGATGAAAAATATGCAACCGCCTTCGCTGGGAATCGAACGACGGACCTCTGAAATACCGGCTCAGTATGCAGAACCACTACACCCCGAAGGCACGCTAGGGAAGTTGGAAAATTATCTTATAACGTGAATATGAGGATTTTTTTAGTATCCCAGGCATGGCAGTGTTTAATCGAAAACAATTAAATTGCATTATTTTGGTCTTTTTTATGAAATATAATTAATTAAGGTTTGTAATCAAAATAAATATGAGTTTTTTAGGTTCCTTTATTACCACAATTGTACAGATAGTAAAGTATCCTGATTTAAATTATATAAACTTAAATTTTACACATCGCATAATAAATTGAAACG